AGGTCTAAGAGACGAGGCTCTGCTGAGCTCCTCATTCTGCATCCTAGATAACACAGATCCTGTGAGGACAAATAAATCTTGCTGCTTGCCTTAAGAAATTGAATAACATCCCAGGGACCAGCAGATGGCATAATGGCCACGTCGCTGGACTCCCATGTAGTTGACCATGGTTCGAGTCCCATACCTGGTGGTTTAAACTCATTTCGGGCACGTTTGCGTGCATGCCCAAGATCCTGAGAGGAGAACGGAGGAGAAAGGATTGCAGGATGGCCATTCCCCCTGGGGGGTGATTTTTCACTTTCAGTCTCTCTGTCTCTTTCTGTCTTTCTGGCAAGCACACGCACCCTATAGCAAAAGCCTCTTGAAAAAAGAAATTGGGACCAGCAGTTAGCGTAATGGCTATGTCGCTGGACTCCCACGTGGTCGACTGTGGTTCACGTCCCGGACCCGGTGGCTTAAAACTCACGCAGGGCACATGTGCGTGCGTGCCCAAGATTCCGAGAGGAGAATGGAGGAGAAGGGATTGCAGTATGGCCATCCCCCCTGGGGGGTTATTTCTCGCTTTCTGTCTCTCTGTCTCTTTCTGTCTGTCTGGCAAGCACACGCGCCCTATAGCGAAAACCTCTCAAAAAAAAAATTAGTAATATCCCTAAATGTAGTGTTTCTCAAAGTGCCACCTGCATTTGAATCACATGAATAATTGTTAACAGTGCAGATCCCTGAGCTTAATCTCAGATAAGGAATAGAATTTTGAGGGGATGAAGCCCTAGAATCTCACAAAATTGTGAGAACCATGGCATTTATGTTTCATCCCTATAAAGACTGATTTCTTATGTTTTGGGACCTGAGAATTGTGTTAATATTAACCGTTGAAAAGTCTCTAACCATTGCCACCTGGGCTTAGAGCTTCTTTGGCTCCATAACTGCCTTAGTGGGCTTCTAGTCTATTTGTTTCTGGATGATTCCATGAGCTAGTATATAAAACCAGAGATTCTGCTGAAACTAGTCTTTGAGTCTGAAGTCTGGTCTGGGTATTTATTTCTCTAAGCAATAAGCCTTAGTGATCTTCCCAAATACCTAGCCTTAAATTTAATCTTGAACTATAGCTTTCTTCCCACCACACCTCAGAACAATTCGAAATAACAGGCCGAGAGGTACCCCGGAGGAGGTCTGTGCCTGTGGACTGTATCACAGCTACATGGTCTCCTTTGTCTTGAAAGAGTGAAAAACAGAGGTGCATGGGAAGGAGCTAAGGGAACAGGCTTCAGCCTTATCCCAGTCTAATCTCAAGCAATATGACCCTCCATTGCAGCTTCTGCTCATATCAACATACCCTGGGGGAAAGTTTCTGGGGTTTCCCATTCTTGCCAGTATCCAGAATCTCAGCCATGTTTTATCATGACCAGAAAAGGCTCCTCTTCATTATTGTTTGTCTTTATTTGCCAGAGGGCATGTGTGCTGACCAGAGAAAGAGAGAAAGCACCCCGTAGGATATAATCACACCACAGTCCCTTCTCCATTTCCCCCTCCTCGGAATTTAGCACAAATGCACACCTATCCAACATGTTCTCCAAGCTTGAGTTCCCAGGTCTGGCATGCAAACCATGTGGTCAGCCATGTAGTATCCAGCTCCCTTGACCACCAGGTCACGGGCTGGCCCAACTTCTCTTATTAAAGCTAATCTTTCTTCCTTTTGGTTTTGGGTGGCTAGTTTGAACATAATTTTACCTTTTTATACTGCCTTACTAATGGAAACGAGAAGGAGTCAATTCAATCCAACACTGCAAATTTTTCTGCCAAGTAATGCACTGCCATGGCCTCAGTAGGCACATAACCTGCATTCAAGGTACAAAAGGAAACTGTATAACTACCAATACTAAATTGCCCATTTTCAACCCAGAATACAAGGGTTCTGGCTGCTCTTTGACTTACGTCTTTAGTTGAACCAATTGCATTTTTTAGGATTTGTCTCTTGAAATATCCTACTCATGGGATTCGTTTCTGTATCAGTTAGGATTCTTTAGGTTGGAATAAACAAAAATCTAACTCAACTGGCTTTAACAATACAGCAAATTTAGTGGTACAAATACTGTAAAGTCCAGAGGAAGAAAAGACTTTAAGCATATCTTGATCCAAGAGTTAACACAATGTCATCAAGGACTCAGCTTTCTCTCTCTCACTCTGCCTGTAATGGTGACTTTATCATCACGTTTCATCCAGGGGCCTTCCAACAGCTCCACGTTCCCTGGTACAGCCATAAAGTGGCTACCACAATTCAGACCTCACCCCCTCATACCAGTAGCTGCTATCCAAGTTCCAAGACTCAGATTCTCTAATTGGATTGAGATGAGTCAAGTGCCCATCCCTGAATTAGTCACTGTGGCCACTGTGCTAATTAACTTAGGGATAGTTGAGGATAAGCGTCCATCCCATCCAAATTACATTGCCAAGAATATAAAATCCTCTTCAGGAAAGCCATGTACTATGGTAGGAAGTAGGAAATACTGGAGAGGCACTCAAGGAGCTGATAGTCAAACATTAGTGTGATCTATTCTTTTTTTTTTTCACACTTTATTTAGCCAAGTTGATCTTACTAATACTCAGATTCAGTCCTGTAGCTCTCCTTTTTTAAATCCTCAGGCTTCTCATTCCCTGCACAATAAACTCAATACTTATTAACAAGGCTTACAGGATCCCGTATGATCTGACCACTGTCTATCTCCAATCTTTCTCTCTTCTCTCTCTCCCTCACACTTCAGATAACCTGACCTTTTTTCAGTATCTTAAATTTGCTATGCTCAGGCCAATAGGTGCATGGAAGTTAAGGCAGCTGGATCCCACATGGTTGATGGTGCAGTTTGAGCCCCAACCCAGAAGCTTGAAAATCATGCCAGGCACATGTGCATGAATCCCCAAAGGCCCAAAAGGGAAACGGAGGAGAAAGGATTATAGCATGGCTGTCCTCCTAGGGGGTTATTTCTCACTTTCTTTCTCTCTCTCTCTCTGATGAGCACAGGAGCCTTATAGTAAAAGCTTGAAAAAAATAAAATTTACCATGTCCTTCTCGAGCTTTCACGCATGGTTTTCCCTGTGACCGAAATGCTTCCATTGCACTTCTTTGTTTGGCTCATTTTTGCTCAATCCTGGGACTTAGTGCAGATGTTGCATCTTCCTGGAGCCTTTCCCTGAGTCCCTGGTGCAAGGTTAGGGACTCTATGGACTTCACAGAACCTTGAACCTCTCATACATATCATTCGTTTTATGTCACCGACACTTAATGAAAGATAAGGAGGTCATCACCACGTTCCTCAAGAAATGACCTCCTGGACTAAGGTGGTGGCTTCAGAGACAAACAAAGGAGAGAGAGTGGCTAGGGAAGCATTGAGAATGACTCCCATATTTCCGGCTTGGATAACAGGACCAGGACCACCATAAGGAGTTAGACTTTATCATGTAGGTGATGGAGCTGCAGCAGGAAATTTCAGGCATTCCGCATACCCTCTACCCACCTCTGACTTGAGCTCACTCCCATCCAGAGTGAGCCCCAGCTGCCCACAATTGACAACCATTTCAACAACGTACTTTGTTTTGTTCTATTTTTATAAGCCAGAGGATGCATGTGCTCACCAGAGAGGGACAGAGAGAGAGGGAGAGGGAGAAAGCACCCCCAGTAAGGTATGATCACACCACAATCCCTTCTCCTCCATTTCTTCATCCTCTCAGCACTTTGGGCATGCCTTACCTATTGGGGATCATGAAACTCTCGCCTTATCTGATCTAGGCGGGAGAGTGGGGACAGGAGCAGGCAGTTGAGATAGTCCTGAGGTGTGTCATTGGGAGGGCTGTCATGGGTGTTGGATGACTCGCAGTAGGATTCAGTGGGAATCCAAAGGGGTTGATACCCCCTGTTGTATGGTCATTTGCAATTTTACAGCTTCTGTCATAGAAGGCAGCTAGGTTTTCATCTTTATCCTGTATGATTATTCTAAGTGTGTCATAATTTATAGGGTTTTCTATCCCATGTATCATTCCTGCCAAGAGAGCCTCTAGGGACCTAGCCTTCTTGTTCTTTCCCACTGGGGTGTTATAATCCCATTCAGGGTCAGTTGTAGAGACAGTCTCTGCCCCTGGAAAATTTCCCTGGGGTATCCTAGCAAATGCAGCATCTGCTTCTTTGCATGCTGGTCTAAAATTTGTTCTTTCTCAATGTGGGTACAGCAGGGAGCGAGAATGAACTGCACATCTCTTCCCAAGAAGTCAAAAGCTAGGGTCAGTGTCTGAAATCTTTCAGTAAATTTCTCAAGGTCCTCAGAATATTCGCCCAATTTTTTTCTGCGTTGTTGATTATCAGCAATGGCGAAGGGGACTTGGACTCTGATTGGGCTCTCTTGTCCAGCTATTTCCCTGAGGGGGTAGAGGGTCCCACTTCAAGTATGTGATAGACTGAAGGGTCAGTTATCTATCCCCTGTCACCTTCAGGGTGGACATAGCTGTGCTTGGGGCAGAAGGCAGAGGAGAAGCAGTATGGATGGGGAGTATGTTCTCTTAGGGACTCCATCTGGGTTTGTAACAAGGGATCATCTATTATATTCGCATTTGGTTGAGGCCATAGTGAAGGGATTTGTCTAACTTTCCTGAAGGGAAGGGTCTTTGTAAAGAGCCATAAAGGCCTGGATATATGGGACTGTGGACTTGCCTTTTACATAATGAATCTAACCATAAGATAGTATTACAATTAATGACCCCATTTAGGGGCCATCATTCTTGGTCTGCAAATTTATATTGAAGTCAAACCGTATTACAAAAGAATACTAAGCATTTTTTTTTTAAGTTATCGAGGTCAAAATTTCTCCAGTAGTTAAGGATGCAGCCAATGCAAGAGTCTAGGCGGGATCGCATGGTTATTTCCCATGTCTCCTGAGGCGTCCCTGGGAAATGGGTGAAGCTCCGGGAGAGTGGCCTGAGTGTCCTCAGCTTGCCATGTCCATTTTGGTCCCCAGGATCATTTTCTTGGCTGCACGTCTTCAGCTGAACTAGGAGACACCAGGATCCTTAGAGTCCTGAGAGCGATGAGCTGTTCTTCCTCTAGTTCTGCAGGTTCTTCAAGTTTTCCAACGGGGCAGGTGAGTCTCTGCTGTGGGACTGGAGTAACCTAAAGAGGCAGGCTCCTGGTCTGGATCACCACAGAATACGATGCGGGGTGGCTTCAGTGACGATATCCAGGTTCTTGGTGTTTCAGACAAAGAATTGGACAAAACATGCCAAAAGCAAAAGGGAAAACATAGTTTATCAGTAAAAGCAAAAGTACACTCCTAAGAGGTAGGAGCGGGCCTGAGTGGACAGAGAGTGGCTCAAAAGGCCCAAATAGTTATATTCTGCCAATGAAATGACACCTACTAGACCCAAAATATATGGTTTCTTTATTTTTTTTTTAATTTTCTTAGGATTTGCTATAGGGTGGGCCAGCAGGTGGTGCGGTGGCTCAGGTGCTGGATTTCCACATGACTGACTGGTTTGAGACCTAGACCCAGTGGCTTGAAAATCACAACAAATAAATAGGTGAATTATTTATTTACTTACTTACTTATTAGAGAGAGATTTTTGTTCTAGGGTATGTGCGCTCACTGGAGAGACAGAGGTAGACAGAAAACAAGAAGTCACCCTCCAGGGGGGGATGGCCACGCCGCAATGCCTTCTCCTCCATTCTCTTCTCGGTATCTTGCGCACGCGTGCACATGGGCCAGGTGTGAGTTTTAAGCCACCAGGTCTGAGACTTGAATCACGGTACACTATGTGAGAGTCCAGCGACATAACCATTATGCCATATGCTGGTCCTGATAAATATAGAAATAAATGTTTTGTTTTGTTATGTTTTTTAATTGCTATGGGGTGGAGCCAGCAAGCAGTGTAATGGTTAAGGTGCTGGACTCCTATGTGGTTGGCCACAGTTTAAGTTCCGAACCAGCAACAGCTTGAAACTCACACTGGGCACATGTGCACACATGCCCAAAATCCCAAGAGGAGAATGGAAAAGGGATTGCAGCATGGCCATCCCTCGAAGGGGTGATTTCTCACTTTTATCTCTGTCTCTCTGGCAAGTGCATTACAGCAAAAATCTCTCAAAATAAATAAATAAATAAATTGCTATGGGGCACTTGTGGTATTTACTGAAGAGATAGAGAAAGAAAGAGAGAGAAAATGCGAAAGCACACACACCCTCCCCCCCAGGAGGGATGTCCATTCCGCAACTGCAGTCAATTCTCCTCCATTCTCCTCTCTGGATTTGGGGCATGCATGCCAGACACCCAGTGCATTTCTCAAGCTGCCAGGCCTGAGACTCAAACCACACAGTTGGCCATGTGGGATCCAGCCACCTTAATCACCATGCCACCTGGCTGGCCCTGATTTCCTTATTTGGGAACTTTTTCTCTTTTACATTGGCTTGTTGAAGGTGGGTTCTTATCTACTGCTTTGTCCCAACTCCTGGCATATTCAAACTGTTCAGTAGATTTGATGGCTGGATGATAGACACATGCCTGCAGAGCTCAGGAGAGAGAACGGCAGATACAGATTTGGGAGCTGAACCACAGTCAGCTACATGGGAGTCCAGCTGAAATCATTTCACACAATGCTTTGCCCGGCGAGAGTGGGCAGAAGGGAGGAAGACCAGAGTAGAATGCAGGAGGTCACCTGAAGAACGGAGCAAGGAGAAAGAGCCTGGGAGGGAAACGAAGGAGAACGTCCAGAGGCTGGACAAGCACCGGAGGGAAATGTCAGAGCAATCAGGAGAAAAGAGAGTTCAGAAGAGCAAGCAGAGGACAGTCACAGCAAAGACAAAACTGAGCAGAGAAGTGCCCATTGGATTTTTGTCACTAGGAAGTCCCCAGTGAACATGCAAGTCCAGGAAAACGAAGGGCAACTGGCAACCAATGAAAGCTGGGAGATAAATGCCCAGCCACCTGCCATTGGTAGGGACTCACAATTCTGATGTCCCTGGGAAGTGTAACAAGCTCAAAAGTACGCCCTTTCTTGGCTTTTCTTCTCTTTCATTCTTCCCACTCCCTTCCCCTACTTCCTTTTCCCTGCTCCCTGGAATCTCCTCCCACATCAGCTGTTAGCATTCAAATCCTCTCAGGCTCTGATATCAGGGAAATCCAACCTAAACAGACTAACTCATTTCTCCTCTCTCTGTCAGGGAGGGGTCCAGAGTTTCCCTTACAACTCATTGTCCAGAACTAGTTTGTGTGCTTATGTCTAAACTAATTATAACCACAAGGGAAAGGGATTCTCATTATTGGCTTAGAACAGTCATGCTTCATTCCCCAGGGCTGGGCATGCCACCCATTGAGAAGAATAAGCCAGGTCCTGGCTGTCTCCAAACCATCGTGATCACCATGACTGATGATTTCGGGGGACCACCACAAGGATGGCACATCTCAGTCCCTGTGCATATGCCTACCTGACCCAGCCACAGCTGTGGACTGCTGTGTGTTCCACTCACACCGCCACTCTGCAGGACACCATGTCAGCTGCTGCGGACCAGAGTATAAAGGCGGTAACAGAAGTCCTGACCTTGAGGGGGTGTCATCTAAACATGCTACACGTACATGACTACAATGCAGAGGCCCAGAGGTCAGCACTGCTGATTCCAACTCACAGACGTCCTGGTCAGGATAGACTAGGTCATGCTAAAAAAAACCCAACCACTCCTCAGATCATTTATCCCACACTGCACAGCCCTCACCGGTGGACAGGAGGTTCTCCTCCATAGCATCACGCTCACTTAAGAACCCAGCTCAATGAAACAGCTGTTATCTGGATGGCGCCCATCGCTGAGCCAGAGGAAAAGAGAGCTCAGAAGGGTTTTGGATTAGCAATTGAATTCTTGAATTCTTGGCCCAACAGTGCAATGTATGACTTTCACTCACAGCCCATTGGGTAAAATTGGTCACATGGCCCCATCTAATAGCAGAGAGAGCCAGGAAGAAAGAACCTACCATATGCCAGAAGGCAGAGAAGCAGAGATATTTGATAAAGCCTTCCAGAAACCATCAAGGAAGAAAGACATTTGAACTGAGCTTTGAAAAATATTTTAGTCTTCAATAGATGAAGCTCAGGACCAGGGAGGAAGACAGACCTGCCAGACAGAGAATTATGTAAGAGGAGTCACAGAGGAATGAGCATGCCTAGCTAGTCTGACCAAACCAGGCTTTAGGAAGGGATGGGGGGTGGAGCTCAGCTGGGCTAGGGATTGGACAGGAAGGCTGAGTTTATTTATTTATTTTATTTATCTATATCTAGATATATCTAGATATAGATATAGATATAGATATAGGAGAGGTTTTTGCTATAGGGCACGTGTGCTCACCAGAAAGACAGAGAGAGAGTCAGAAAGCGAGAAATCACCCCCTGGGGGGGAATGGCCATGCCGCAATCCCTTGTCTTCCATTCTCTTCTCGGGATCTTGGGCACGCACACACGCCTGGTGTGAGTTTAAGCCACCAGGTCTAGGACTCGAACAGTGGTCGACTACATGGGAGTCCAGCGACATAGCCATTATGCCAACTGCTGGTCCCAGCTGAGTTTAAACTGTAAGGACTTGAATTGCATAATAAGGAGTTGACATGCTGATAGATTATTGGCCATAGGAAGCTTCTAAAGGATTTTAAACAGGAAAGTGACATGATGTGGTTTGTGTTTTAGGAGATAACTTTGGCAGCAGAAGGGGAAGACTGGAAGGGAGTGAGACCAAAGGCTAGAAGACTTTAAGATGCTGTTGCAATAGCCCAGGAAGTGATGAGGAGGCATTCAAGGAGAGAGGACCTGGGAGGACACCGAGGAGGTGGATGGGAGAGACACTTCCAGGCTAGAAAGGACCACTGCCGGAAATAGTTAAACGTACAAAGTAGTGTAACGAACCCATAGACCATCACCTAGCTTTACTGTTACCTACACGCAGCCGGTTTTCTTCATCTACAACCTCCCCTACACTCCACTAAATTATGTTAGAGCAATTTTCAATGATCACATCGTTTCATCTGTGGTTTCTTCAGTATCTGTCATAAAAGAGAAAAAGTCTTTTGTAACATAACTAGGATACTATTATCATACCTAAGAATTAATAGTAACTATTTAATGTTCTCAAATATCCAGTAAATATCAAAATTCCCCTGATCGTCTTTTATTTTTCCCAGTTTGTTTTAATTAGAATCCAAGCAAGGTCCTTACATATCTCTTGGTTCTCTCTCTCTCTCATTTACTCATTGATGATTCTGGCCCAAGTGTCTTACAGCAGTTCCCAAATTCTGCATTTTGCTGATGGAATCCCCCTGCCATCATTTCCCACACATGTCTTCTCCTTGCACGTCCTGTAAACCGTGGCTGGATCCAAAATGTCCCCCATGATTTTTGTTTTGTTCTGCTTTCCTTCATGAGAGAGAGAGATAGTATTCCCCACAGGGTCCCAGTGCTGTGATACACTCTGGCCTGGATCATGAGCAAGCCCTGGATCATGAGCAAGCCCATGCCCAGTGTGCTTAGGGAGTCTCTGGACTGGAATCAGGGACCTCCCCAGGTGGGATTGCCTCAAAAGTGTTACAATTTACCACTGCAGCATCTGGCCCTCACAAAACCTCTCTTTCTCTTGGGACCAGCAGTTAGCGTAACAGCTATGTCACTGGACTCCCATGTAGTCGACTGCGGCTCAAGTCCTGGACCCGGTGGCTTAAAACTCATGCCAGGCGCATGTGTGTGCATGCCCAAGATCTCGAGAGGAGAATGCAGAAGGGATTGCGGCATGGCCATCCCCCGTGGGGGGTGATTTCTCACTTTCTGTCTCTCTGTCTCTCTCTGTCTGTCTGGCAAGCACATGTGCCCTATAGCAAAAACCTTTCAAAAAAAAAAAAAACTCTCTTTCTCTTTTAATTTTTAAAATTTTGCCAGAGGGTGAGTGAATTCTCCAGACAAAGAGACAGAAAGAGAGAAACAGAGAGAGAGGGAGGGAGGACAAGTAGTTCCCAATGGGACATAGTCATGCCACGGTCCCTTCTCTTCCACTTCTACATTCTATTAAGATTTGGGACACACCTGCACGTGTATGCAGAGTGTTTTTCAAGCAACTGAGGCCAGGATTCAAACTGCACAGTTGGCCGTGTGGAATCCAGCGCCTTTAAACAGCGGGCCATGGAATCAGCCCAAACTTCCCCTCTTTTTTTAACAGAAACAGAAGGGAAGGGCGCCATTGTATATCAACACCCTATTGTGTGTCTTGAACCGTGAAGGTGCCTTTATAAATATTGTCTCATTAATCCCCATTGCAATGATTTAAGGCAAGTATTTATTAAAGATGAGGAAACTGGGATTTGGAGAGGTTAAGGAACCTGCCCAAACTCACAAACCAGAAAACGAAGGAACCTGGGTTGGAACTTGGTTCTGTCTGACTCCAAAACCCCCTTTCCACTGTCCCAGAGTGAGAAGGGCCTTGGCACATGAGTGGCAGTGCCAGGGAGGAAGCCTAGCTACTCAGAGTCCTGGGGCAACTTCAGTAGCCATCATAGACGTTAGGACTTCATGCCTGTAGGTACTTTATGAATATCACACAGACCTAAACAACAGAGGCATTATTACCCCCATTTTACAGGTAGGGAAACTGAGGTCCCGAAAGAATAAAAGGCTCGCCCTGGGCCCCATAGTTGGCAAACAGGGCCAGGTTTCGGGCCCCAGCCAGGCTAACAGCAGAAGCCCATGCTTCATGTCACAGCCCCACGTGGCCTCTCCTCATGAATGGTTCCAACCTTCCAGAAGCCACGGACGGAGCAGAGAGCAGAGGTGGGGCTCAGCAGGCCGGCTTTCCTAGCTGGAGTTCTGGAGCATGCGCTCTCACTGCTGGCCGAGTGAATGGACTTTCTGCCACATTCCCTAATCCAGGGCGCCACACGCCCAGCTCACGGGAATGAGGGGTTGAGGGAAGGCCAGCTCACGCCAAGCCCCATCCATTTGGGTGGCATGGACTCTCCCCAGAACTCTCTCAGAAGGCCCCACTTCCTCCTGCAGCAAGGCAGAATCCAGGAGGAGCCCACTCAAAGGGGAGACAGAGGCAGCACTCCCGTGAGCAGCCCTTCTTCCCAGAGCTGTCACGGACAATCGGAGAGAAAAACCGGGACATTCTCCCCCACCAGGATATTTTGTATGCTTTGCACTTGCTGCTGCGTTTCCTTCATCTAAAAGCTCTAAAATTTCAAATAAAAAGGTACAATGAAAGCAGCAGCAGGATAAATAGCCACAGTGATCTGAGCTGAAACCCTGGAAGCTTTATTCACATCTTTAGAAAAACTCTGAAGGCTCCTAGTAGCAGCTGCGGTACAAAGCCTCACACTTTAATTCTAAGGCTGCCAGAAATAGGTCTGTCAGGCCTGAAATATCACTGCATTTCATTACTCTTAAATGTGCATTACCATCTCTGCTTCATTACCAGCTGGGGGGGATTCTCCAGATCAGCTCCGAAGAGTACTGGGGATCTGGGGCTCATGGAGTGGCAGAGGATTGAGCTGGGGCTAGTCCACGGGAGAGGGGAGACCGAGTAAGCTTCAAGATTGGCCCGGGGGCCTCAGAAGTGAGAATGCTGTTATTAACAGGTCCCCCACAGGGGAAGGCAGGCACTTGGAGAGTCTGATGTCACCTACTTGGGCGGTGCAGCCAGGAGGAGCTAGGAAGAGGCAGACACAGGATTGTGGGGGTGGGGGTGAGGACAGTTGTTCAGCAAAGAACTGGGCCTGAAGATGCGTGGGTAAAGGGTGCAGAGGTCCTCTGCCAGCAGCAGGTAGGAACTAGTCAAAGGCAAATTAGGCCATCAAGGCCTGGGGACATCACAGGCACAAAGCAGCCAGTGCGAAATCCTGGAGGGAGACGGCTGCTGGAGGGTTGGAAGTTCGGAGCCTGGAGCAATCTGCATGCTTATAATAAAACTGACACTCAGGGCAGCTCTGAATAATTCAGTAGGCACTGTGATCTCCTTACAGTGCATGTCCCTGGGGTACAAAGGGAGCGGGGCTGGCTCGGCCCTGGCCGGCTGCTGTCGCCTGGCTCTCTGAAAGGGCGTGACAGATGGGCCGACGCTGGCCACCACCCAGTCACGCTTCGCACGTTGATTGGTTTTCAAAGGAGGACAGGGTTTGTGAATGGAGCCAGCTTGTTGCTTGCTGCCTTCAAATGGATGCTGCTGGGTCGCGTGGCCAGCAGGGCCCCCTGTGAATGGGCATCGCCAGTAGGAGGTGAACAAAACAGGGGCGACTCCCCTCCCCTCCCTCATGGCTGCTGAATCCCTGACCCTCCTCTCTGCTGACAGGGTTAACCCTCCACCGGTCCTCTGCTCTAACCCTGTGTCAGCCAGAACAAAGTTCAGGTGCAAATACCAAAAGAGACAAACAAAACAAAAATTAAACAAGAAGAAAGCTGCTTTTTCTCTCATGTGAAGAAACCCAAAGATAATCAGTACCAATCTGGTTTGTCAGTGCTGCCACCCCAGAGACCCAGACCCACGGCATCTGCCTCACTGCTGCATCCGTCACCTTTAGTTCTTAGAAAGCTGCTCCTGGCCCAGCGGAGCTGCTCAAGCTCCGCCATGTCCACGTTCCAGCCGCAGGGGAAAAAGAGATGGGAAGAAGGTGCCCAGGGTGTATGCCAGCCACTGAGATTTCCCAGAAGCTGCCACCCATAAGGTTACAGACTAGATGACAGCTTAGTTACCTGGGCACTCCAAGCTGCAGGAGAGGCTGGGCAGTGTATCTGTGTATACGGCCACACGTTTTGTGGGAGACAGTCCTCCATGGTTCTGTTTCATTTTCACATTTGTCAAATGAATCATTGACTGTCCTTTGTTCCAGATCATCATTTCCAGGTTATAGTGAGCAGTCCTGGAAGATTTGGAGTGTCTCCCTCCAGAGCAAAGGGCAGGCATGCTACCGTTATAAAACACACATGGCCCATTATAAAAGGTTCGGGTCCCCTCAGTGCAGGGTTCTCTCCTGAAATGCAATCCAGTGTGCGCCCTGCCATCCCTTAGCCCTCTCTGCAAAGCCTCGTGAGAACTGGGACGGGTACTCTTGCTGTTGGAATTGCTGGGACTAATAAACCGTCCTTCATCTCTGGCCTAGGAGTCTGGACTTCTACTAGCAACTAGGATACTAGTGGACTAATTCATGAACTAGTGACAGACTCAGCCTTTTCACAGCTGTGGCAGTGTTCAGCTGACAATCAGGGTTTCAGGTCAGCCAGGTAGGGAGGATAGATCCCACATGGCTGACTACATGGTTCGGTCCTAGACCTGATGTCTTGGAAAACACACGGGGCACATTTGCAGGCGAGCCCAGAATCCCGAGGAGAGAATGGAGAAGGGATTGCTGTGTGGCCATCCCCTCTGAGGGGTGCTTTCGTACTTTCCTTCTCTCTCTCTCTCTCTCTCTCTCTCTCTGTCTCCGGTGAGCACACGCACCCTATAGCAAATAGAGGGAAAAACTTCAGGTGTGTACTGGGGCAGTGACCATAGGATTGTCACGAGCCCTTTCCTGCCTCGTGAGCTGCCCGTGTAATTGTCCCCACAACCAATCGGAGGGGAGCACCTTCAAGCAAAACTCCTGAAACCTCCCGAATTCTAGCAGGTCTTGAAGTGCCTAAAGATGGAGGAGCTTGTGTGCCTGCTCGTCTCCCGAGCTGAGCGTTCTCTCGGGTGCCCAGGGACTTCCGCGCCTCCCTGTGCTCAGTTTCAGGATCGAGTCAGAGGAGAGCTCTGAACTCTGCTCTGACTTCTGCATCTGGAACGACTCAGTGTCCCCCTCCCCAACTCCCTAGAACCAAATCGAGCCTCTTTCTCTATCCTCCACCCTCATCATCCCTGGGCCTCCTCCCATTACCCCCTCTCCCAGTGTTTCCCACAACAGAGAGCCCTGGAGCTGGGAGTCTGTTCTGTACACCTGCCTGCTCTAGGACACACCTCCTCTCTGGGGAAGGTG